TCTTTCACAAGAAATGTATAAAATTAGTGCTGTATTAGACTTACGGTACCTAATTTACATACTGTGCAGACGATAATAAACTCAACTTACTAGCCTAAAATCTCCGTAGCGTGTTGCCAGGCGGCAGAAAGCATATATATAATTATAATAAAGTTACAATAAATTAAGTTAATATATAATTATATATACAGTACCTAATTTATATATAATTAATATATAATTATATGTACAGTACCTAATTTATATATAATACTAAACAGACGATAGCAAACTCAATTTAGCCGCTCCGTAGCGTGGCGCAGGGTCGGAGGAAAGTAGTTCGGCTGCTCATCCACTATTGGTCCAGACTCTATCAATCTTCTCGCGAAATGACGTTATAGGAGGTACCTTATACGAAAGTTTCTACAATTTTTTCGCGACGTTATAGGAATTGTCGTTATAGGAACGTACGTTATAGGGGGGTCGACTGTATTGTAATGAATACATAATATACTCTAAATAATTTAAATATTGTAAATTACCTTTGACATTAGTGACCATTGGATGAATAAACTTTGTACTGATAAACTAATAATTAAAATTAAGTTAACATAAGGCTATGATAAAGTAATTTTTAAAAAAATTAAAAAATCAAAACAGAAAGTTTATATAAATGATTTTAATAATATTTAGACTATGTTTATAATACCCAGACTTAATATCAGAGTAAAGACACAAAATACATGAAGCATATAGATCGTTAGTTGACAAAATTCTATATATTGTATAATTTAGAAAAATTTCTGAAGAACAAACTAAATCAATATGATAATTCAGAAAATAGCATCAAGAATACAGATCAGTCCATTAAAAACCTTAAAAAGCTCACTATAAATGAAAATAGCAGGATGTTGATTCTGTATATTGAAAATACATATCTGTCTATGCATAAAAAATTTTAATAGAAAATATGTTAAATAATTTAGAATGTGACAAATGGAAGATTCAACTGGTTTGGTTTGTTTTAGATAATAATTTTATTTGTAACAGGAAGTTGAAAGGCATCTTCTTGGGATCATGTATTGGTCCAAAACTTGTGAAATTATGCATGATAAAAATTGATCAAATAATTAAAAACCTTCACAGCATAATATTTTACAACAGGTATGTAGACTACTGTTTTATTATTTACAATAAAAGTTTAACCAACTCCCAGATAATACATGACTGCACCAATAATATCCACAGTAATATAATTTTTGGCATATTAAAGTTTTTAGACATCATCCACAGATCTTATGAGTTATTTTTTAAAACATACATTAAACTGTGTGTTGTTGGTAAAGTTAATTATTATTCTAGTGTACCTATGTACTGTAATGTACTACATTAAACAGAACATTTTCAATATGTGCAATGATGTAGGGTGTTTGTATGTTTAAAATTACAATTAATTTTAAAGATACAAACATCCTACAAATGGCCTGAAGATTTTTATTTGAGGTCTTGTTTTAATTTTTATTTCTACATCACTGTAGCAATGACCAATCAGATGATGCTTCATCATTTAAAGATTGGCATTTGAAGTTCTATTTTCAAACATTACAGCATAACCTAACAATGAATGATAGCTAAAAGCTGTTGAAAGCATGTTTTCTTGGTTAAATATTACTTTTTTTTTTTTTAACTGGAATTTGGTTTAGTTTTGTGTTATTGATAATTTATCCAGTTTTTATGGTGGTTGTATTGTAATTTACTGTATTTAAATTTTTTAGTGTATTACATATTTAGTGTGGTGTATTAGAATTATATAGCATTTATTGTTTAATTAAATAGATTTGTAATAAAGGACTGAAGAGAGGCAGAAGTCTTAAAGTGCATTATTTTTGTATAATAAATTTAGCATAGTCAATTACTGGTGTATTTCCTGTGTGATTAGTCCCCTTCAGCAAAATTTATGCTTACTGATGGTTAAATTAAAATACACTTAACCCAACAACTAATCACTTCATCCTACCTTTAAAATATGGTGTAAATCAATATAAATGGTTAACAAGGAAAAAAGAAAAACTAAATAAAAATCAAGTGAAATTTAATGAAACACAGAAGTTTATATATCAATCAATTTCTGTTTTATTGATTTCCAATTTCCATATAGCTTTCTACCTGTAGCGGCAACTGTTGGCATTTCTGTCATAAATTGTAGACCTATAAATTCCCACTGTTGTCTGTTTGTCCTTCCTTAATCTTGAGAACGGAGTTAGGTACATGCAAGACAAGACCAGATATAGAAAGCTTAGGGGCAGGAGGCTCTGATTAACTATATATGAACTTCTGATGCAAAGCAGAAGTTACAAATATAAATATAAATACACCTGAATTCTACTTGTTGAGTTTTTTCTCTTTTTATTCAAACGTTTTTGGCCTATTTGGATAGGCCATCCTCAGGCTTTTCTTTATCGTTCCAAATTGGAATCATTTGTTCGAATTTCATTTTGATTTGAATTTTTGAAATAAGTTAACAACTTTTTGTATATTACATAAATAAACAAAATAAAG